GATGCTTCCCCTGAAGATTCTCTCAGAAATCTCCGCTGTGAATCCTTCACAGAGCCAGGGCCATGCTCCAGTGCCCACCCCACACAGTGCTCACGCCTGGCGCCTGCCACACATACATGCCGGGACTCATCCACTGGTTGGCAGAACCTAAACCTACCGTGCTAATTTGGAAGCGCTACTTCTAATGTGTGCTAATTTGAACACATGCATTTTGTAATCTCAGGAAAGAGGGGTTGCCATGGAAATTGATTATATAAATAGTATTACAAGGAAAGAAGATGTTTACCTGCTAAGACAATGTATTCAGTCATTTTCTGGGTACACATTTTCATATAAACTAATAAGGTGCTAAGTACAAACATTTTTTTTCCTCTTCATTAAAACAGGACTCCAAGAATTAGCCGGCAATTCTCTGATTAGGAAACTTGATTGTGGGCATTGCAATCTACTCAATGGTGTTCTTTAAAAAAAATTCTATTAATTAAGACTTCCTACCTATTCGGGAGCCCCTCGCCCGTAATTGGTCTGCAGGGGAGAAACTGGCAGTCTTGTGTTGGCTTCCGTGAGGAGTTGCAGTGCGAAACAAGCTTAGGTGGCAAATGTTACTGGCTCCTCACTGGCACTGAGAGGGTCAAAAACAAACGAAGACCCCGAAAGCTGTCCAGCTCCTCATGCTGGGAAGGACAGCACCCCTGCCCGGGTACCCCCTGGTTTCTGCGGTCTTCCCTCCTCCAGGAGGCCTTATCCTCTCGCCCCCAAGGCCCACTGCCCTCTGAAGAGCTTCATGGAAGACCCTCGTGACCCCCAGCTGAGCGTCTGATCCCTCCACGGAAGCCACCAACCTCAGCTCAGCATTCGTGCCTAGAACTGCTCTGGAGTCTGTCTCTGCTGTCCTCCCAGCCCAACCCACACCAATCATTCTAGAGTTTTCCAAGTGTACTGCCTTGCTCTGGAAGCCCTTCTTCCCAAACAGAGCAGGCGGCAGGCTCTGGGCGGCAGGCAGTCACTCGCTGTCCCATGCGCCCTTCTTTCTGATGCTGGGCTTCGCCAGCTCTCCAAGACAGTGCTCCATGCATTCAACACATTCTCCAGGGCACGGCGTTCAACTTTACTATTCTCACTGCTGTGACTGTGCTCTCAGGCTGAGTGGTAGCCTCCGCTTTGCTGTAGCTCCCGCAGGAAGAGTTCTGCTCCCCTCTCCATGTGGACGCACCATTGTGCAGACCACAGGTGCCCTCAGCAGCCTCCCGAGCCCTCTGGGTCTAGCAGAGCACGTGACGCCCCAGAGCAGAAGGTGTTGCTTCCAGACACTGCCCTGATCCGCAACCTGGAGAGAGAACCACAGGAAGTTCTCCACTCCTCGTATTCTCACCATCTAACTGGCTACAGGCAGTTCTTCTGTAAAAGATAACAGTTGGTTTCCGTGTTCCCTTACTCTGTTTGAGAAGGAGAGCCTAGCGGTTTGCTAGTCTATGGAGAGAGCAGTCATCACTCCTGTCACCAAAACCCAAAGTTTCCCTGACAAGGACGAAAGGAGTAGCTAGCAATGGAAAAGTTTGGTTTGCTCTAGTTTTGTTGTGGTGGTGTTTTGGATTGTTGGTTTTTGTTGTTTTTTTTGGGGGGGAGGGGCACATCCGACAATGCCCAGGGGTTCCTCCTGGCTCTGCACTCAGGAATTACTCCTGGTAATGCTCAGGGAACCATATGGGATGCCGGGGATCGAACCCAGGACAGCCACATGCAAGGCAAGCACCCTCCCCGCTATCCTATCTCTCTAGTCCCAGTCCACAAGCTTTGAGAGCATTAATGATCCATTCTCGTTTTCTGTGGGAGACTGAGGGGCACGCCCTGCAGTCCATGGGGGCAATGTCCAGCTTGGGGGTTGGTGGTCAGGGATGAAGGGTCAAACCTGTTGCTCCCACATACCACGCAAGTGCTCCAGCCCTTTGAATCACTTCCCCAGCTGAATCTGGTCCTTGTCTGTTAGATACAACATTTGTTCTCGAATGCTGTCTTTACCCAATTTGTCACACAAGAGTAGAACTCGGGGGTGCGGGGGGCAGTAATCAAGTTCCTCCTCTTTATCCAACCCTCCCCCCAAATAGTTACGTGATTCTTAATGTGGCTTCTTCAAAATCTGCTTCTGTTTGATAGTAAAGAACATGCTCTGGACAGAATTTTTGGTATTTGGCACAGCACCTGACTTCAAGAATTTGGTGAATTCAAAAGACTTCTACTTCACGCAACATTCTAATGCATGCAGAGAGCAGGGCTGGTTACATGCCAAATGTTGTGCAGAATGATAAGAAAAAAGATCCTGTCTGTTCATTTTATTTCCAGTAAAATTGAAAAAGATTTACAGCAGACTGCTTTGCAGTGTGAAGAATTTATGTCTGACATTCGATCCTGGGTTCTTAGTGAGACCTGTGAGAAGGATGTACCACCATCTTCTCTAAGACAGACCTGAACGCAACTGAACTAGCAACCCTGTTGTTTTATCTTGTGCAGAAAAACTGCCTAAACAATCACGCAGCAAAAATATGTGTGGTGAAGATGCTTGCAGCAAAGAACTGAGGGGGAATTACCTAGAACTATCTAGAACTATCTAGAATGGCTCATGTGCATTCCACCCTAACATCTCCCTCTCCCAGATGGCTACAGTAGATGGCTGCAGTGGCTACATGCTTCGAATCTCCTCTTCCTTCCTATCATCTTTTCGGGCTCAACTGGATTATTTACATATTTATCTGACTTTCCCCTTTCTTTTTCAATAATTCCTAAGGATACGTCTCTAGAAGAAAGATTACCAAGGGCATAGGGCTTTTCATGTGTCTCATTACAGATTGCCATCTTATTTCCCCCACAGGGTTTTGCCGGTGTACATGTCTAAGTGACTGTTTTAGTTGGTTGAGCATATGTTTGTGAACATTCTTTGGCTGACCTATTAGTTGAACACGTTTCCTAATGTGTTTTTTGCTAAATATACTTTGTTCATTATCCACATGGTGACTTTTGAAATTGGCCTCTTCTCTGAATGGGCTCTTTAGGTGGTGGTAGATATTGAACCTTTTCTGCCAGGTTTAATGCTACTAGCTTGGCTCACTCTAGCGGAACATTTGTTTCTCACCGCATTGAAAACATGCAGCTTTCAATCGTTAAAGCTGCCAAGATGCGCCACTCTTACTTCTCTCTAAAGGAAGCCTTTAAAAACTTGAAAATGACCAATATTTTCAAGAACAAGTCAGCAATGCAATGTGACTGCGCATCTGGTCCCATCCTTCCAGAGAGTAAGATGACGAGTCAGAGTGTCGAGGTGCCCGGGGGTGGAAAGGGAGGCCAAAACAGCAGCAGTACCCGTGCTCCAGGTCACATGTGGTACAGCTTTCATAAGTTCTTGGTCTTGCCCCACTTTGTCCCAACACATGATTCTCCATCACGTCTTTGTGCTTCAGAATTGGCTCTCTCCTGGAGGCTAGTACATTATGAATGGCATGGCTAGGCAACAATCTGAAGCACTTTGGGCTTGGGTTGTTGGTTGGGGAGGCCTGGTCATTCCAGGTCTTACTCCTGGCTTTGCACTCGGGGATCACTGCTGGTGGGACTCGGGGGACTGTATACTGGGGATCAAACCCAGGCCCCCAGGTCAGTCACATGCATAGCAAGCACCCTGCCCACTGGACTTTCTCTGCAGCCCCGATCAGGAACTTGATTAACTTTACTAAGGTACACTGCATGGTGCTGATATGAGTACTGATTGAGTTCAAAGACATCATGAGAAAGTCTCTCTTTTTTTTTTCTGGGTTTGATTCTGCATATTTGGGCTGGAGAGAGAGCACAGCGGGTAGGGCGTTTGCCTTGCACGTGGCCGACCCGGGTTCTATTCCTCCGTCCCTCTCAGAGAGCCCGGCAAGCTACCGAGAGTATCCCACCCACACGGCAGAGCCTGTCAAGTTCCCCGTGGCATATTCTATATGCCAAAAACAGTAACAAGTCTCACAATGGAGATGTTACTGGTGCCCGCTCCAGCAAACCGATGAACAATGGAAGGACATTGCTACAGTGCAGTGCGATGATTTTGCATTCAATTTGGAATGAACCCAGATATGAAACCTCTTAATGCGTTTGCTGAGCAATGCCATGGAGCCAGTGGACCCAATTGGAAGCTTTTCCTTCCCTGTTCACAATACATAGATACACGAGTGCAAAGGTGCAGAAAGAGTGTTTCCACAAAACATTAATAACGGCATTATTGTATCACTGTCATCCAGTGGATCATCAAATTACTCGAGTGGGCGCCAGTAATGTCCTGAGATTCCTCCCAGCCCTGAGATTTTAGCAGCCTCTTCTTACTCGTGTTTTCCCAAGGATTGGAGGCTCTTTCAGGGTTAGAGGAATGAGACCTGTTGTCATGACTGTATTTGGCATGTCGAATACGCCACAGGGAGCTTGCCAGGCTCTGCCCATGCAGGCGAGATACCCTCAGTAGCTTGCCGGGCTCTCCGAGAGGCATATATTCATATATTTTTCTCTACGATTTGTTGTACTGTCTGAACTTCATCAGATATGGTGTAGTAATTGTGGGAAATGGGTAGGAAGTGTCTTATAATGTGTCTGGAAAGCGTCCTGGAGCATGGCAGTGGCTGGACAGTGGAGGTCGGCTGATGGGACTGGGGAGGGTGGGGAGGGCTCTCACCCGCCCCACAGCCTGGCGTGGAGTCCGGTAGCATGGTTCTGGGAGTCTCATTTTATACTCCGGTCTGGGAGGAGCAAAACTCGACATCCGGTGCTTAAATCAGATATTAAGAAAGACGTAGTATTATCCATGCAACTTTCCTTTATCAAGCTCTGTCTCCACCAGTGGAGGGTCCCCAGGAATATCGACAAGCACCACAGCACTTGACACCCTCTAGAAATAGACTGTTTCCATCTTAGAATATATTCCTGTTTCAGATCTGCATAGTTTGTGTGTTAAAATAACACTATTTCATGTTTTCTTTCAGTCTTCACAGAAAAATACTGTACGGCTAATCATGTGGATAAACTTCCTGGCCCACGAGACTGGGTCCAGATCCTGCAGGATCAGATTAAACTGGCCAGAAGAAGGTTGAAAAGAGGCTCAGGTATGAATATACCGACAAAAACTAATTACAGGGTCCCGGATGAAGCTCTTCGGCTGTGCAGTCTGTTCCTTTGCTCTGGAGTTCTTCACTGGCTCTTGTCTTCTGAAGGAGAAGCTCTGTAAAATGTGCCATGGATTTTTTTTTTTTTTAGTCACACTGGCAATGCACAGGGGTTACTCCTGGCTCTGCACTCAGGAATCACTCCTGGCGGTGCTCAGGGGACCATATGGGATGCTGGGAATCGAACTGGGGTTGGCCACATGCAAGGCAAACGCCCTTCACGCTGTACTATCGCTCCAGCCTGCGCCATGGATTTTTTTTGAAAGTCTTACTCCAGTGCATTTTGAAATGACTGGAAGATTAAATAGTGAAGATTATATGGTGCCGCTTACCTTTAATCAGACAAACAGAACATGTTGCTAATCTCTTTGTGCTCTCTTGTGCCTGCAGTTGAAGAGTCTTCTCTCATGAGTTGCTTCTGTTGCTTGTTTATTTTGTTTGCTTGGAATTGCATGACTTCATAAAAAGATGCTGGTTGCTAAGAGTAAAAACAATCATAGTAGGGGACCAGAGAGATAGCACGGTGGGTAGGGCTCTTGCCTTGCACGTGGCTGACCCAGGTTGGATCCCCGGCACCATCCCTCCCTGGGGTACCCACAGACACGTACATGCCTGGGCCCTTCCTGCCCGATTCACAGGGGCTGGGAGAGTCAAAGGAATGTGTGAGGAATTCTTGGAACTGGACGGGAAAGAACCAGCTGGATCCAGAATTCTGATTCTGCTCATGTAGGTGCTGCAGAGACGGGGAAGGACTGTGTTCCAGGACATGTGGCTGTAGCAGAGGACAAGGGGTCCACGTTCCTGCAGGACCCCATCAGTGTCCAGTTCTAAGAGAACCCTTTGAGGGAAGGAGACATAAAAAGGAAGGAGCAGGCCAGGGGTGTCTGTGGACTTTATTCTCACTGTGTCTCTCAGAGAGGCTCTTCTCACATGCAGAGACACCCTGCTGGCAACATACCCCATGACTGAGGCAGGAAGTGTTGCTGACGTTCCTCTTTTCCAAATTCAGTGGACTGGGGCTGGAGCGATAGCACAGCAGGTAGGGCATTTGCCTTGCACGCAGCCCAACTCGGGTTCGATTCCCAGCATCTCATATGGTCCCTGAGTACCGTCAGGAGTAATTCCTGAGTGCAGAGCCAGGAGTAACCCCTGTGCATCACCAGGTATGAGCAAAAAAACAAACAAACAAACAAAAAACATGGACTTCCTGCAGGAACACACCTCTCCCTCGGCCCTATTTCCAGATGCGAAGAACGATTCGAGTTCAGCCTAGCCTCTGCTCCCCTCGCCCCCAATAAACCCACAGGCTTCCCTGAGGATCTCTCTCTCCCCCCTGCAAACTGTCCGGAGAACACAGTCCTCAACCAAGTCCCAGCCTCGTGTGCAGTTCCGGAAAAGTTCCATCCCACACACGGGGGAAGCCCAGTTCTGCAGACAGGACCAGTCCCACGTCCCCTCCTGTCAGAGCTTTCCCCACACTTACACCTCTCCACCAACCCACCATAAACCCATAAACTCAGCTTTGTATTTGGTGCAGGACACTTTCACTATCAACAGCGGGGTGGGGGTGATTCGAGTCGATTCGAGTCGGCCTTTGAGATTGGCACCTGCCCACGTCTTTTCTGCCTTGAGATCAGGAACTGCCAGGAGAGGTGCCCAGCCCCTTATACACCTTGTCGCCCTGAGCAGCTGAAAGTGGGTCCCAGCCTCCAGCCACACGTTCCTCATGACACAGACAGAAACAGGGGCCCAGGGTCAGTAATCCTGCTCGCTGTCGTGCCTTTTTTTTTTTTGTCTTGATTCTTTTTAGTCTCTGGGATAATAGAAACAGGGTCTCACAGATATTCTGCATGTTCACCCTGATTTATCCTAATTGGCTCAGGTCCTAGAATTAGGTGCGACTCTAAGTGGGCAAAGCTAATCAACCCACTGGTTCCAGAAGTCCACACTGCCTGCCACCTAGGAAAAATGGAAACGCCCCGTGCAGATTTGAAAGGTTACGTGAATTCAAATAGAAATTCATTTGGGCGCTCGTGACATGTCACAATTTTCTTCTTGTAACTGGAATAATTTCTTTCCTGGTGTGGATTTTTATCATTTTCATTAGATTATTTCCTCAGCGCTGAATGTGTGTGTGTCTGTGTCTATATTAGATCTAGAAGTAAAGTTGTCAGTGCTATTAAATTTTTATTGAACTTGCTCCATCTTTTCCAAATTTCACAACTTGCCTGTCACCAGGGAAGAAAGATTTTGAGCTTGTTGTTATTATAGACCAATGTTATAATTAAATTCAGACAACACGACGCTTTGTCCTGTTCATACAGTACCATATAACTTATGTATAATAATTATGTCTTAATATACATTTCTTTGTTCTTTGTTTTCTTACTAAAGCATTTGATAGCGTAGCTTTTTTGGGGGGAGTTCCCCCAAGTGGTGCTCAAGTGGTCTAAGAACCCCTCCTACCAGTTCTCAGCCAGCCAGGTCATGGGTTCAATGGTGCTGCTCAGACCTTGGGGTGCAAGGTTACCTGAAACACCCCCGTGATGCTCAAGACACGGGCCATTTTTTTTAAATGCACCTAGCATGGGGCTGAAGAGATAGTACAGGAATTAAGGCACTTGCCTTGCTCACACAATCAGTCCTGGATGAGTACCCAGCACTGTGTAAGATCCCCTGAGCACCAGCCAGAGTGACTCCTGATCAGAGAGAGCCAGGAGCAAGCCCTGAGGACAGCCGGGTGTGGCCCCCAAGCAACAACAAAACTGAGTCTAGCTTAACAACAAAGGGAAAATCGATTTATACCCAGATGCGAAGAACACGTGTTTATAGCCAGATGAAGAGCAATTATACATGCAAAGGAGAGCGTTGCTAAAGTATAAAGTGTATAAAGCATTGCTAAACTACGTAGTTAGAGGGCCCAGAGCAATAGCACAGAGGAGAAGGCATTTGCCATACATGTGGCCAACCTGGGATCAATCCCCTGCATCCCTTATGTTCTCCGAGCATCGCCAGGACCAATTCCTGAGTGCAGAGCCAGGAGTAAGCCCTGAACATCGCCAGGTGTGACCCAAAAAGTTTAAAAAAAAAAAAGCTGTAGATAGAAATTTAGCTGATAGCAATGCACGTGATCATAGCAAAGAGGTAACAGCAGAGAGCCCAGTAGCACCCCACTTCAAGGCAGCTGGTGTCAGTGGCAGAAATATCTTAGTTCCTTAAGTTCCTAAAGTCTCTGCTTCGTCCTTTGTGAAAATGAATATTGTAAGAAATGCAATTCCAGGGGCTGGAGTGATAGCACAGTGGGTCGGGTGTTTGCTTTGCACATGGCTGATCTGGGTTCGATTCTCAGCATCCCATATGGTCCCCTGAGCACCTCCAGGAGTAATTCCTGAGTGCAGAGCCAGGAGTAACCCCTATGCATCACCAAGTGTGACCCAAAAAAGCAAAAACTATAATAATAAAAAACAATTAAAAAACCCCAATTCCATGGGTTTTTTTTTTCCGGGGGGTTGGGGGAATTAAATGACAAGGTTGATAAATGACTATGTAGATAAAGTACTCCTCTGATAAGAGATGCAAGTTACCATTGCTCTTAATATTTCTGAAGAATTTTTTTTAATCCCAGTGATGCAAGTCCGATTGCGTTCAACTCCCTGTTAAAGTCACTCAGACCACTCGGAAGGAAATAACACTCCAACTGTGAATGGCAAGAGACCCTTCAGCCCATTCTCCCTGGAACGCCATCCCACTTGCTCATCCGTGGCTCTTCACTGGCCTGTTTCTACCCAGAAAAGTGGGGGTTCTCTCAAGCGCACGCTTCTCTCTTTCTCTCCCCACATATTTCTAAATAAGTTCCAATCAAAACTTTGTTGCTCACCAGAAAAGAATCAATCCTAGATTCAATATTTTTAAATATATAGGATTTATTTTTGCCACACCCGGCGATGTTCAGGGCTTACTCCTGGCTCTGTGCTCAGGGCTCGCTCCTAGCAGGGCTCGGGCACTATATGGGGTGTGGGGGATCGAACCCAAGTCATATGCAAGGCATGCACCATACCTTCTCTACTCTCTCTCTGGATCCTGGTAAAGGTAAGGTAAAGGCCCTCCCGTTGATCGTCGATTTGCTCGAGCGGGCCCAGTAACGTCTCCATTGGAGACTTTGTTGTTACTGTGTCTGGCATATCGAATACTCTCGGTAGCTTGCCGGGCTCTCCGAGAGGGGCGGAGGAATCGAACTTGGGTCGGCCATGTTGGCCGCTTGTAAGGCTAACGCCCTACCCGCTGTGCTCTTTTTTCTTTTTTCTTTCTGGGTGACACCTGGCGATGCTTAGGGGTTCCTCCTGGATCTGTACTCAGGAATTACTCCTAACATTGCTTGGGGAACCCTATGGTATGCCCGGGATCAAATCTGGGTCGGCCGTGTGCAAGGCAGATACCCTACCCGCTGTACTATCACTCAGCCCCCTAATTCACTTTTTAAAAACCAACAGTTTAAAGACTTTTTCTACGCCTGTCATTTGGAAGCGCTGTGAACATCTTAGCGACTCACCGAGAGACCTAGTCAGAGTTTTCATCTTGCCCTTCCTCCTGCAGCTCATCTCCATCATTGATTTTAGAGCTTTCTGCTCAGAATCTCTGCCCAGTGCTCCCTCCTTGGGGCCGACTTAGCTGCCTGCAGACAAAAGGCCTTTCACTGCTGCCCACCTGTAGCTGTCTGAGGACGTGATGTCAGGTGTGAGCTAGAGAGGGAATCACTGGACGCTGCCAGCCATAGCTGAACCCCGATAGTGTCTGAAAGGGACAGCAATGAAAACAGAAACAGCCTCAGTGAGCTCCCGCCCGTGTGGCCTGACCGTGGGCGGCCGAGGGCAGTGCCTTAGAGGGGTGGGTGCCTGCCCACGTGCTGGGGGGGGCACGGGGTGCTGGGACGTGGGGCGCATCACACATGGCCTTGGGAAATGTGCCAGCCTGTGCCAGCTTGTTGGAAGACTGACAAGCCCACGGTTATCAGGAACCCCATGGGCACCCCCTTTTCTGTAACTGTCTGGAGGAAACATCTACAAAGATCAAAGCATCAGGGCTGGAGCTATAGTACAGCAGGGAGGGCGTTTGCCTTGCACGTGGCTGACCCAGGTTCAATTCCCAGCATCCTATATGGTCCCCCGAGCACCGCCAGGAGTAATTCCTGAGTGCAGAGCCAGGAGTAACCCCTGAGCACTGCCGGATATGACCAAAAAGCAGGAAAAAAAAAAAAGATCAAAGCATCAGAGAAGAGTGATGGCTTGTACTTTCAAAACACAGAGGGATTGTGAGCATGCAAGGCACTTTCTGAGGAGCTGTGGCAGATAACAGGGAAACATAAAGTGTATCTCCTGAAGAAAGGCTCCTTCCTCCTGCTTTTCTTTATGACTGAATTTGAGTGTTTAGGTTAGCAGCGCCAGGATCTGAATTTCTGGTCAGCTCCAAGGAGAGACCCATGCTCCATATTTCCTAAGCCCGCTCAGCAAAATGGCCCTGGGCGTAACAAGTAAAATCCTTCCACAGGAATTCACTGACCAGCCCTTTGATTATGTCATATTTAAACAATTCACTCCTGATTCTGGGCAAATGTTAAGCTTGAGGCAAGTGAGTGAAAATGGATTGGAATTACCAGCGATTGATGGAATAAGATTTATAAGGCGTAAAATCTATTGTATCCGGGAAAAGCGACTTTATCTCATCTTAAAATATATTTTATTTAAACATGGCACTGGAATCTGTAATGTGAGCCTATTGAAGGGAAAAGAAAGGTGAAAGCTATTATGTATACTAGAGTTTGTAAATCGTATTACTGTACTCAGTAAAATGAATGTGCGCCCCGAAACTAATGAGATTTGTGTTTTATGTTTGTAACCAGCAGAGGTAGCTGACGGTGATGAAAGGCTGGACAGCATTTCTCTACCACCAACAGGTAAAAGCACATTTACATTTCTATCACTGCAGGAAAATACAGCCCAGGAAAATATTTGCATTAAGGTTTCTAACATTACAGATGCAGACCTCCAGCAAATTGCTACAAGTGCAAACGCCGACCCTCCAAGCAACAGGCTCAGTGCCCTTATGTTCCTCAGTATTTTTCCTATTAAATATAAAAAGCTCCAGTTTTCTCACTGTTTCATAGTCTTAAAAACCACAGGACAGGTACTGGAGCAATAGCACAGCAGTTAGGGTATTTGCCTTGCAAGCAATCAACCTGGGTTCGATCCCTGGCGTCCCATATGGTCCCCCAAGCACCGCCAGGAGTGATCCCTGAATGCAGAGCCAGGAGTAACCCCTGAACATCACCAGGTATGACCCAAAAAGCAAAGAAATAAAAAAATAAATTAAAAAAAAAAAGGGAAAAACACAGGCTAGTGAGTCCTGAGAGCTGAGAGGCCCAACATATTGCTCCCCCAAACCTTTGCCCATTAACTTGTTCTTTCTAGAACAGGAATCCCAGGTTTAGGGTGCAGTTCTGTGATCTCCCCCACACCCCACAGCGCTCTAGGTTGGCTGTCCTGCTCCTCCGAACACGGGCAGCCAACAAATGCTATGTTCCCAACTCATTGGATGAGCTGGTCGTAGCACAGAGGGTGGCCCCTTCCTGCTTGCTGTCTCGGGATTGGCTCCACACAGCGTTTCACTGGCACCTTTGCTGTGACGCGAGCCATTCACATCGCTTGGATTCCTCCTGCCTTAGGGCTCACGTGATGCTTCTGGCCAGCCTCGCTCCTGGCATTGCTCCCCACCTGGAATATGACCCATGAAGTGGCAATATATTCCCTGTGCGTGGCCTCGGGGCTCTTCTTGGCTGCCCTCCTATAACTGATGAGTCTCTGCCCACAAAAAATTCCACTCAACAACAACAACAAAAAATAGTATGAAAAATCTCAGTGTTTCTCTTCTCAATTTGGGGCAGTGAGAGTAAGGTTCAGTAAGTATTTACGAAGTCGGGGCGGGGGTGGCTCGGCTGGGAGCTGTGTTCACGAATGGCACTTCTGGGGTGGCAAGGATGGCGGAGGGCATCGGTGAGGAACAGGCACACAGAACTGAACTTCAGAGCTGAGAGAAACCCAGCGCTGTGGACAGTCTGAAACGTCTCCATCAGGGACAGCTGGTCACGTGGGTGGGCAGCGGATGAGAAGCTCCCTCCCCCCAGGATCCTGCTGTGCAGAGTCCTGTTATGAATGAGGTTTCTTCTCCGGCTTCATTTCCACGTTCATGAATGAAGAGACTTGCAGTGCCCTGGCTCTGGGGCTCCTTCCCTGAATATCAGGACAGCTCACCTCAGCCGTGTTCTCCGTAGCTTGGCCATTTCCCAGCAGAGGCCTGAAATCCTACCTCTGACAGTGAAATCATGTGTCACTCTATCTCTAATAATGAAACTGCGTGGCAGGGGGCCCTTTGGAAGAATCCCAAGCTGCTCTAGTCGTGCCCACAGGATTTCTCAGTCCCACCCTCCCAACCTTTCCCCAGGGGCCCCAGGGCATTTGCACTGCTATTCCTGAGGTCCTCTGACCCAGTGGATTCCAAAGATAGTATCATCGGGAAGCCATTCCCCCTGAAATGATTCCTTTGCCTTTTTCTACCCCATAAGGCAGAGAAATGTTTCAGAATGGTATAGGAGGGATGGGAGAACCATCTTATGCAACTGAAAAGACATTCAGGAAATCAGAAGGACGTTAAAGAGCTTGTGGTCTACCCAGTCCTTTTGGTTCCAGATAGGAGAACCTGAGACCGAAAACACTTTGCCCGGCTCTCACGCGGGTTTGGTGGCCTGGCCTCTGGGTTCCCTGCCTTTCCATCACACAGAAATCTGCCACCTAAGGCCAGCATTTCCCTGCGTGGTATTGGGGGCCTGGGTTTGGGCTTGGGGGCCACACCTGACGGTGCTCAGGGCTTCCTCCTGGCTCTCTGCTCAAGAATTGTTCCTAGTGGGCTTAGGGAACTTTGTGCAGTGCCAGGAAAATAACCCGGGTCTGCCACATGCAAGCCAAGCGCCCTCCCCACTGTCCTAGCGCTCCAGCCCCCTCAATCATATTTTAACATCTGCATAAAGCTCCTGCTTTCCAGATAAACCACTTTATTTAGGCGTTTTCCAATCCGGCACATGCAACGGATGGACTCCAGCTTGTAGTAACCCTCGCCATGGGTTTGCCTTTGACAGTAATCAGGACAAACTCCCAGGGGCGCAGGCTGGACCTCCATGAGGGGACTAGGAAATACAGTTTCCTCGTCCACTCGGAACTCTGCCTCTGGTCACTGCCATTAAAGATCGGAGGTGCCTTTGGAAGTGACGCCCCTTCATTTTGTCATCTCTGTTGTAGGGAACATGTTTGACACCAGGAGGGAAAACACAGCGAACTCGGCGCCCGATTTCACCGCCTGATGCCGCATTCCATGACGCCGCTCGTTCGCCGTATAACATTCCTCTTGGAACTTCCTCAGAGAGCCACGGCGCGTTTCCTGGTGACCGCAGAGAGTGGGTGTTCTGTGAAGTTTCCCGTCATGTTGGAATCTTTTTCATGCACTTCCTTTGTAACATGTGATAATCAAGCCTTCAATTTGGTATATTTTTTTAAAGATCATTTTCAGAGTTGATTTATCACCCTTCAAATGTCCAACATGTGATCCGGTTTATTGTACAACAAAAAAGAAAGCAGTTCTCTTTCCTGTTGTTTGTTTTTCCCAGACCTTTAATGTGAATATGTGGACTTCTGAAGCATATTTATTTTCAGTTAAATTGTTTAGATGCAAGTGTAAAGGAGAATGTCTGTCTCCGGTCCTGAGAGAACAGTTGGGAAGGCCAAAACTAATTAGGTCTTTATTGGATTAGAAGATGAAATATTATCCATGGCGACAGGACAGCTCTGATCTAAATAAAATCTGCTGTGGCATCAATTCCCCTCCAAATAACTATTTGTAACTAAGTGCAAATGATACATAAATTCTTAGAAAGATGTGGCCAGAGTGATAGCACAGCGGGTAGGGCATTTGCCTTGCACGTGGCCAACCTAGGTTCAATCCCTGGCATCCCATAGGGTCCCTCAGCACCGCTAGGAGTAACTCCTGAGTGCAGAGCCAGGAGTAACCCCTGAGCTTCACCGGGTGCGACCCATAAAGGGAAAAAAAAAAGTGTTTTAACAGAGGGCTTAACTCTGAATGAGCCAGTGCTTTGGCATGATGTGGCAATGAGCCACAAACACACTTAATCACTAGTATATACTTGATTTGCTTCCTAGGGCACTTGCCCTTCACTTGATATACAACTGACATGAAAAGTTAAATTAATTTTAAAGTGGTATCTTGCCACGTTTGGCCCTTTGATCTACAGGAAAAAAAAAATTACCTCTAGATTTCCTTTCTTTGATGGCGTATTTAAAATACCGTTTATCCAGAATGACTGCATTTGGGGTACAAAGCAAATTCGTTGGAGTTGTTGACGCTTGACCCAAAGTCTTGGAAGAGATTCGGAGTGCTGAGAAATTCCACGCCATTCCCTAGCACTGTCAAATCAGTATCAGAAAGGGTTCCTTAGTCACCCCTCCAGCACACACACACACACACACACACACACACACTGGACACATCGGCTCAGATGAGGCCCAGGACTCCTCAGGGACTGGTGACCCTGTTGGCTAGCCAGGCCTCGAACCTAAATTCCTTCCTACTGTGTCGAGGTGCGGTGCCACACCTAAATTAAGAAAGAAGTCTATGTGGGTCCGTGTTCCTCTGAAGACAGCCATCCGGTTGCCCTGTCATGTGACAAAACTGGCCACAGGTGCCGCTTGAGGGGTCTAAGTACAGAAGGACACTTACATCCTACACATGTGTGCATGTCTCGCCTCAAGTCCCAGACTGCTGCACCTGTGCTGTCTTGCCTTCCTTTTGCAGGAAGAAGGGGGAAAGAGTTTCCATAACAACCTTAGTTGGCCGTGGACATTTCAGGACCCTTAGGATTCCTCCCCCCTGAAGCCAGCCCCTTTGTTTTTGGGATGATGTGATGAAGTACCAGGAACCAGAGGTTTTGTTCTTCTGCAAAGGGTTTTTAAACTTGTCCTGGGCCTCTCCGAAGGAAGTATTTCTCAAGGGAATTGAAAAGATCAATTAGTGGCCTGTCCGAGATCACTGTGTTGCTAATAAAGGCCGTAGCATTTATCTTCCAACTGTGGGCCCTGATAGATGCGCCAGATCAGAAACTGGCAAAAACCTTGGCAGACGGGGCCACAGCTCGAGTGTTCAGTGCTTGGGGAGGGGGCATTGCCCAACTCCCTGGTATGTGCCACGGGACCACATATTGGAAACGCAGCTCACGGGAAGATTATGTTTTCTAAGTCAAAACTGTATTTGTGTTTCACTGACTATGACTACTGTGCAGATTCTACCCAGAAATCGTTTTTTATAAGCTTTCTTAGCATTACAAAAAAATCCATATCTATGGATAATGTCTCCAATCTTATGTATATATGTTTTATTAATATGTAAATATTTAGATTTTTTTAAAATGACTATGTTCTTTTAAAAAATTCAGCGCAAGGCTAGTTGTGGAAAATGGTGTATAACATTGTGTTGTGAGATCAACTCCCGAGATGCTCTTCACATTTGTTCTGGAAGAATACAATAAACGACTTAAACTGAACAGGCCTGTTCTGTACCTCGGGACTGTCCAGCGTCCATCATTACAAGGTTCTGTTGTTGTTGTTTGTTTGTTTGTTTGTTTTCTTTTTGGGTCACACCTGGTGATGCTCAGGGGTTACTCCTGGATCTGCACTCAGGAATTACTCCTGATGGTGCTCGGGGGACCATATGGGATGCCAGGGATCAAACCTGGGTTGGCTGCGTGCAAGGCAGACACCCTCCCTGCTGTGCTATCGCTCCAGCCCCTACAAGGCGTTTCTTGATATTCTAATGCTCTCCCCCAGAAAGTTTGCTCTCCTCATGAAGTCAGTTCCTTTTTTTTTTTAAAGAAACGGGCCGCCTGGCTGCACCCGAGAGCATCCTTGCAGGTGGAGAGGCATAGAGCTGTGCCTGGCAGTCCCATCCGTGCTGCGACAGGCCCCCGGGCAGTACTTGAGCGGTAAGTACCAATATGCTTGAAACCTGACTTTAAATGAATTAGGGAGCCTGATAATCTGCACTTAAAAGGTTAAGCCCTGCTTCTATGGAAACAACACATCAGCAGCACAGGCCAGCCTCCAGAGTGCCCACCCCGGCCCTGACGTCTCTATGTCCTCTCCTGCCACCGGAGGGCGCTAGCCTCTGGGGTCCACCTGCTCCCGCCTCCAAAGGGCACTGGCCCCTTTCCCTAGCCTAGAGCAACCTCCTGGCGGGTCCGAGGACCCAGCTCTTGGCTTCCTGGTTTCTGCCCTGAGCTGCTTCACCGCTGTCAGGGGAATACGTGATAAGTGGCTGGACTTCAGGAGACAAGGTGAGAGTGAGTTGCTTGCAAAAAAGCAAAATACTAACTGCCGCAGAGCCTTGTACAGATCCTGCCCTCGTAGGGTCTCGGAGCTGGCAGGAGTCGGACCATCCTGCACAACCCAGGCTCCAAGCTTCAAGTAATCCTTTGTGCCACAAAAACATTTATGAAGGAGCCCCCCTCTATTCCCCCCCACCCACCATGCTGTTAGCTGGCCCAAGGGCCCCCCTAGGCAGTTCCTGCTCCCACGAGCAGCTAAGGGTCTGGATATCGCTGACCTGGCTCACTTCCTGGTTGCACCCCAAGTCCAGCCTAGCTCCCTGCCGTGGAGAGATGAAGAGCTTGCCCAATACTGCTGGGGTGCCAGGCCAGAGCCTCCCAGGACAAGACGCAAGCGGGGAGGCTTGGGGGCAGCTTAAGTAATCTTGGTCAGGTTCTGTTACATGGGCCCAACTGACCGCAGGGGTGAGACATTAACTAAGCCAAGGTAGGGAGTCCTACAAAGGCACCGTGGGGACCACCAGGGACCACCAGGGACCCCAGATGCACACGCATAAGAAAACAAACCAGCACTGGGCGTCCTGATACGGAAAAGATAAGTGCAGCTACAGGGAGGAGGGAGGCAATTGAGCCAGCCTTCACTGAGCACCTGTGGGCAGGGGTTTTGTTTTGTGCCGGGCAAGGAAACCAGGGGAGGAGCAATTAGGAGAGGGAAGGACAGTTGTCACTGTTGAGCTGTCCCAACACCTGCTCATTCAATAAGCGTTTGCTGGGTCCTTGGGGTGTGACTGGCGCTGGTGCCCCACAGCCGTGAGCCCGCCTTCCTGCTTGTGAGTGGGGCTCGCATGCAATGTGTAAAACCCCAAAGAATGCCAGCATACAAATCACACTGTGTCCCAGAACGACAGAAGTGGTGTGTGTGTGGAGAGGTTGAGGGCGGGGGGCGGGGGGTGCGGAAAGGGGACTCAGGACTTGTAAGGGAACTTGGTAATGCTGGCCCAAACAGAGAAAAGCAAGTTTTGAGTTATTCCACATTAATCGCTTCACCGTGGCAGAAGGACCCAGGACCATCAGCTCGGAAGGAGCCATCATGGGCATCAAGCCGCTGTCAGTTCCATTCTGCCATCTCTGACACTCTCAGGTTATCTGCCTGGTTGTTGCTTCTCTGCTTTTTCAGCGGAGCCTGTGCCATGCTGTGTGCAGGATCCTTCGAGAAAGACCTTTCAGATTGCAGAGACGTGGGGAAGACTTGATTTCAAGGTGCCCGGAGGAGCGGCCAGGACCTCGCCGACTTTGAGAGCTTTGAGGATTTGAGAGATGACTGACTCCACCTCCCCGTTTTCCCTGCCCCGTGGACAGGCACTTCCGCTCTCTGTGTCCGGAGCTGTTAGTGGGACCAACAAGGAGATGCTCTGACTGAGGCGTCAGAGAAACTCTGAATTGACACAAATCTGCTCTTCCGACCTTGTTGTCACCTCAGAAGCATAAGCTCTCCCCCACTTCAGCTCTCCCCCCTCCCCAACCCCTCCACCTATGTGCAATGGCTGCTCCTTCCCACTGTGCACTCAGTGAGGTGGAAAGGGTGCGGGCAGAGGAACTGAGGAACCAGGCAGAGCTCAGGTTGATCTGCTGCACCCTGGGGTGCCCAGGGCTGCTGCTGAATTTGACACACACTGGTGTTTCAAACAGTCTGATACTTAAGGGGCTTTTCTTGGACCATTTTTATGTTAATAAAGAAATGGAAGAGCATTTTGCTGTTTTTAATTTAATTTTTTTTCTTTTTGGGTCACACCCGGTGATGCACAGGGGTTACTCCTGGCTCATACACTCAGGAATTACTCCTGGCAGTGCTCGGGGGACCATATGGAATGCTGGGAATCGAACCCGGGTTGGCCGCATGCAAGGCAAACACCCTGCCCGCTGTGCTTTCGCTCCAGCCCCAGAAGGGCATTTTAAAGCAAAACTCTGAA